TACTCTTAATAAGTCTCTTTTCCCGGTCTGGAAACATACCAAGTTTTTTCTAAATAGCTATTATATCTTTCTTCTTATATAAAAGCTCACCATATAATTGGACATTGACTTGATCAGAATTATTATTAGTATTTCTTGTCATGATTGTGTTTATCTCTGATTAGCATATATTCAATTTTGATACGGAATACTGATCATCAACCCAGGCAGTGACTATTTCAATTATATCTATGTTATTGTGACCACAGGTATGGAGTGGCATTTTATAATATATACTCCGGATGATATTTACTATACAAGTGGTAGTAGAATACCAGATTAATCTCACGAAGTCAGCCGTCAAAGAAAATCCTGAATTACTTCGTAGTAATGTGAAAAAATGATTGAGAATCGTGTTAATGTTGATAGTTCCCCAGCTAGCAAGAGGGCTAGAATTAAAAATTTATCAAAAATAATATGTATCATGTATCACAGAACTTTGTATTATTTTTGCATGTATTATTTATTATTTTACTAAAAATATAAAGTACTTGAAATTACAATACATAATAAGCTAAGAATGTGAAAGGGAAATTAGATTCTGGATCTTATCAGTTATTGGACCCGTTGGATTATTATAAATCCAGTGTTCAACTTGTTCAAAGATCGATAATGCCGTATCATCATAATACTCAACATGATTGCTATTGCAATTGCATTTAAATTCAACTCGCGATCTAACCAATAGCCTTCTGATTAATCCATCAACTAAACGGCAATCAGAATGGGTAGGAGTAACATACCCTTCTGCGAAAATTGCACTACAAGGACCTTGTTCATGTTGTGAGATACGGTCCTCGAAATCGCAATTTTCATTACCAACATCGAGACCAATTTTGTAAAGTTCCGGATTATTTTGAATATCTTTATCTAATTAAGTTAATTGTCAATTGTCATTAAACTATACTTAATTTTGATGTGTTTCATTTATATACTAACCAATTCTGCGCATGACATAAAATATGCCTCCTTCAATAGGACGCTTAAGATCGAGACTACGTTCAGTAAAATAAGTGGCCAAATTATTAATGAATTCGTCAGTTAAAGATGGGCGTATAGGAAGCGATTTTAAATATTCTTTGGCGTGAATCGCAGCGACAAACTTGGGTTTATCATGCTTGTTGCATAATGGATAAGTCATATATGACTTTATCCGAAACCACAAACCACACGTCCTATTAGTGGTAGTATCAAATGCTTGGCAACATCCTCTATTATTCCTAGCTTTATTAAGGAAAAAACATTACTCATGAAACATTGAAACTATTAATTAATGAGTATTAATAAAACATACGGGACAAAAACTTTATTCTACTATCATCATAGCTTCTTCCTATTTTAGTCTCGAAAAAGTCGCAGGAAACAGCATTGCTTTTAATCGAAGAAAACGTACGTTTACTCATTGGTGCACTTATTGCTCAAGTAAGAAAAAATCTTGGTATGTCGCGCGGTTTTTGTATATTTATACATGCTCACATGATTTATAATAGGATCGGCATCGTGCATGAATATAAACGCGTCCAGAAACGCGCGTTCCATTTTCACACGATATTATCCTTTTACATCTATAATATAAGAAATGTTTCCTTTCTCTGTTTTTTTTTTTGCGTTTATTCATCCAAATTTACTATAGTATAAAGGTAAATCTTCGCTTTTTTTTTAGACTATATACTCACCTTTTCTTGTATTTCTTTGTCTAGATTTACCACGTAATAGGGTAAGCCTTCTTCTTATTCCTCTTTTTGCATTTCTTTACCTAGATTTACTATGGTATAAAAGTATTCTTCGCTTTATTCTTCTTTGCTTTATTTAGACTATGTACATTTTCACATTTCTTTGTTTAAATTTATATGGTATAAAGGTAAATCACTTTATTCTTTTTTTTGAACTGCATACTTACCTTTTTTTCATCTAAAGTTAATACGGTATAATAGACTGGTAACAGTGCAAAGATTTACGTTTCTACTTCGGATAATAGGTTGATACTTTTAGGGTCCTTCGCCAATTTTAGTTGGAATTTGAAACCCGTTGGTTGGGTAAAGCTTGGAAGCTGTTGGGTGGAGCTTGGAAATCGTTGGGTGGAGCTTGGAAATCGTTGGGTGGAGCTTGGAAGCCGTTGGGTGGAGCTTG